CCGGGACTCCAGGAGCATGACCTGAGCCAAAGGCTCAACCAACTGAGCCACTCAGGCTCCCCAACTAACTTGAATTTAAGGCAAAAAAGAGTCAGACACTTAACTGAGCCACCCAGATGCCCCTAAAAATATTTATACATAAGATCTTTACTTGATCAGAGTTCCAAAAGGCAAATTGACAAAAAGACAGTTGTTAGGGAAAATAATAAAAATATAGATATCTACCCAGAAATACACAAATTATACATGTATCATTACCTGCTAATTTGTGTGGCACTTCTTCCCTGCAGTAGTGATCAGAGCGCAACTATAGATATAGAAAAGAGAGCAAAGCAACTGTGAACAGAGTTGGGATTTTTCCAAATTAGAAGAACAACTTTGGTGGTAGGAAGATGATGAGTCCAGGTCGGTTGGAAGAACCTGGTAAAATAACCCAAAGTTCCAAAATGAAACTAGAGTTCAGAGAGACAGATTTGATTTGGGCATCTTAGAGAAATTGAAACCATGGTGTTAGGGGCACCTGGGTGGCTCAGTAGTTGAGTGTCAGCCTTTGGCTCAAGTTGTGATCCCGGGGTCCCAGGATTGAGTTCTGCATCAGGCTGCTCATGGGGAGCCTGCTTCTCCTGCTGCCCATGTCTCTGCTTCTCTCTCTGTGTTTCTCATGAATAAATTTAAAAAAATAAAATCTTAAAAAAAGAGAAAGGAACCATGGAGTTAAATGAGATCCACCCAGATTTGTGTCCGGAGAAAGGCAGATCTACCATGCACCCACAAACTCTGATGATGGAAAGCCTGCAGATGGGATGGTTCAGGGACAGTCAGAAAATGAGCAGAGGAGGCCAGTGAAGTGACTGTTTCAAGAAGGAAGTGGTTATACAACCGACAGAGGAACAAAGGTGAGACATGGGGTGAGAAGCATCCAACGAGAGTTCCAGGAAGCCATTAATGTTTATCACTAAAACAGCTTCAGTGGATGTGTGTATGGGTGGGGAGAGAGAAACCAGTTTCCAGTGGGTTGACACCTGAGTCTGAGGGACAAAGCAGAAAATTGGTCTTCAGAGCCATGGATCAGTGAAAGTAGAGGGGATGGAGGTTTCCCCACATGATTGTCCATGTTCTAAAGCTTGAACTCTCATTCCTAACTCAGAATTGGAAAAGTCTTTCTCTGATTGACATATTTCACTTAGCACAATACACTTTAGCTCCATCCATGTCATTACAAATGACAATATATTCTTTCTGATGGCTGAATAATATTCCACTGTGTATATACGCCACATCTTTTTTTATCCATTCTCAGTTGATGGACATTTGGGCTGCTTCCTTAATTTTAGCCATCATTTCTAAACAATAAAAGAAAGTATGACTTCTGTGCCTAAAATATGTGAAAGATCTCCACTTTCCCTGAGCCATTATCAACTATCATCTAGAATAACATGGGAGCTTCTGAACTGGTCTCACTGGATATATTCTTCCTCATTTGTAAATGGAAACAAGCTTAGCAGAACAAGAATACAAAGGAATTTTATTTTTAAATTTATTTTTTTTAAAAGATTTCATTTATTTATTCATAGAGACACACACACACACACACACACACAGAGAGAGAGAGAGAGAGAGGCAGAGACACAGGCAGAGGGAGAAGCAGGCTCCATGCAGAGAGCCCCGCCATGGGACTCGATCCAAGGTCTCCAGGATCACGCCCTGGGCTGCAGGCGACGCTAAACCGCTGCGCCTCGAGGGCTGCCCACAAAGGAATTTTATAACGGAGACAATGAATATCTACAAAAATTATAGCAATTTGCTTTCTCAGCAGTATGATATTAAAAATATTCCCCATAATACAGGTACTAAGAAAAGGATACTTGCTACTCATTAATATCCTGGAGGTTCTAGCCAGGTAGTAAGACAGGAAAAAAAGAAAATTGATTTTATAAAAAAATTCACAAAATTTTAAAATCTAGAAATAATCTAAAATACTCCAAAACTATTAAAATTAATATGTGAACTTCACAAGATCACCGAGTACACATTTGATATACAAAAATCAATTTTATTTTTATAATACCTGCAACAAACAATGGTGATAAAATTATTTAAAGAATGATACCACTTACAAAATGAAAGTAATGTATCTAGGGACCTACCTGGGGATGGTATAACTAGAAGATATATCTTGCGCAAATCTAACAAAAGACGGGCACATTCTGTACACAAAGGATGACATGATATTATTTAGGGAAATCAGTGAACATTTAAATACATGGCAAAATATTACACATTTAGGTTTCAGACTTGTATGGATTGAAAGATTGAAGAGATGATAATCCCTCCTAAAATGATCTGTAGTAAACATGAGAGACACCTAACTCTGGGAAATGAACAAGGGGTAGTGGACGGGGAAGTGGGCGGGGGGTTGGGGGGACTGGGTGATGGGCAATGAGGGGGGCACTTGGCGGGATGAACACTGGGTGTTATGCTATATGTTGGAAAATTGAACTCCAATAAAAAATTAAAAAAATAAAATGATCTGTAGCTTTAGTATAATTTCATGCACAGCAACCCTGTCTGGTCTTTTGTGACAAGTGGCATCCTAAAGTTAATAGTGAAATCTAAAGGGCCCAGGATAATCCAGGAAATCCTGGGAAATAACAAAACCAGAAAATATTACTAATCTAAGGACCAGTACCCATCATCCATTGCTGGACATCCCTCTGGATTATCGGTATTAGTCATCTTTCCAGGTTGTCAACCCCAGAAATAGGTGACATTCTCAATTATGCTGTCTGTTTCTCCATGGTTTTGTTTTCTTCTGCATAACCCCTCTCTCTATAGTTGGAAAGGTCATTCTGCAGTGCACAAGTCATCCTATCACAGCCATTATCAAAATGCTCAATGAGCTCCTTTTGTCTTAAAGATAAAATGTGCATTTAAGATGTGGCTTCCATGGCCGTGCTTGATGTACTGCCTGCATGTACCCAGTGTTACCCAGTATCAAAGCTCTACTCACACTGCTGGTTTTCAGCCTCTGTTTAGCATGAGCCTCTGCAGGAACTGGTACAGACTCCTGCCACCATCATCCCCCTTCCTCATCTGCATGCTCTCCTCAATGTCTCTATGTAGTGGAATTTTGCACAGAAAGAGGCTCTGATGACATCCTGCATTTCTTCCACCCCAACTTATCCCCTTTTGCTTCATTTACTCACTTTTTTAAAGATCTGCACTCCTGGACAATCAGCCCTGCTCTGGCAGAGATTTTTGTTTTGATGTGCGGTCCTTTCACCAGTGCCTGGCACATAGTAGGCTCTTGTAGCAGAGACTGCCACTGCCTATCAGAACTCTGTCACATCCCTCCTCATTCCATTAGTCACAGAAATGCCAGTATGTATCTTGTCACAGAGATGCCTGGAATAAAGGCTGTCATTCTCAACCTCCCTTACATCCAAGTGGGGCAAAGCTATTAGGTTCTAACCACTGAGAAATAAGTGGAAGCGTTTTTGAGTGTTTCCAACAAATCTACATAACAAACAATCAGCCAGTACTTCCTCCCCTTTTCCTCCCTCCCTTTCACCTCATGTTTCATTTTACTGTCTGGAATACAAACCAGGCTCAGTATTTTCTGAAACAGTAGAGCTCTACTTAACCATCTGGCCTAGTCCTGTTGACCAGTTTTGGAAGATTTTGAGTTGGAACAGTGAGAGGAACAGCCTTGTGTGGAAAAGACCCCTCCATTCCTCTGAGAAGGCTCTCAAGCCCCTGCACTTTTATCTGGAGACCTGAAATTCTGCTACCTTACACATTTTTTTCCCCTTGAGACTGGAGGTTTCCTGCCTAGATTAGAATATAGAAAATTTGGGATGTCATAAACATGCTCCAAACCAGTCTATCATGTCTCGGGATGAAGAACACTAAGATTCAGTATTAACAGAAGCTCTTGGACTGTGAACACCTAGTAGATGAAGAACAAGAAGAAGGACATTCAGTACTGGTACTGAGGTAACAATTGCTGTGAGTTTCAGTTTCCTGTAGTACTGAGTGATAAACAGCTGCCATGCTTTGAGTTGACTTACAAGTGTCAGAGCCCATGCTGGTTTCTTGATATTTTTTATCTCGTTAAATATGCATGTCACCCCTTTGAGGCTGGAATTAATGTTCTCTGATACATAACATAAAGCTCAGATTTAAAGAATGGGTTTCAGCCATGTGGGGTGTCAGAATACTGGTGGGGGGGAAGGGACCCCCTATAATGGTTATATTAATGGGTTGATAGAATAAAAATTCGTAAGGAACAAAGGGTCCAGACAGCATTTTAAGGACCATAATCAGGAGTCTCAGGTGCTGGGGCACCTGGATGGCTCAGTGGTTGAGTGTCTGCCTGCAGCTCTGGTCGTGGTCCCAGGTTCCTGGGATCGAGTCCTGTGTTAGACTCCCTGCAGGGAGCCTGCTTTTCCCTCTGTGTCTCTGCCTCTCTCTGTGTGTCTCTTGTGAATAAATAAATGGAATTTTGTTTTTAAAGGAGTCTCAAATGCTAAGCTGTGCTACAGCCTCATTTATATACTCATTGACCTGACGTATATTTCTGGAGGACTTTCTTAGTGGCAAGAGCTGTGAGCACAGCCACCAGACACCACATGGGCTAAATTCACACAAGTTCACTGTAGAGACAGGAAAATGGATATGTATGCTGTGTTAGAGCCCCTGTGCTGTTACAGGGGAGCATGGAAGTGATATCTGAAGTCAAGCTGGAGGATTTGGGGAACTTTTTGGGGGGAGACTCTTTGGGGTGGCACCTTGCTGGCTCCTGTTCCCCTTGATAAATGCCTATTCTGTACTAGTTGTTAAATATCTTGAATGATATACTGCAGCAAAGGAAAGAAGAACTAGAGACAAAGACCAAACTAGGAAGGAAATGTTCCGTCCCTCTTTGGGTGCAACACAGCTCACACAGCCCAAGGTCAATGCCAGTGTTCAGCTCTAACTGTGGCCAGCACATCTCTTGGTCATTTGTCCAGGGTTCTCTGTGTTCTGAACCTTCTCCTGCATTTCTGAGGTGAAGCCCTGTTGGCTTGCTCTTGTATCCTCTTCCTGCAAAGCCAGTAATCAACCAGGAGGCACATGAGGGCCACCAGAGCCAGGAAAGCCAGACCAATCTGAAGGATATTATGGGCAGTGTGATCCCAGAAGGCAGGGTCTGGGGTGAGAAGAACAGACTGATTACTGACAGGAATAGCCGGGCACCACCTCACTCCACCACTCTCCCACTCCCCGTTCCAGATCACATTCCTTCACAGTGTGCAGCACCCCATTGCTTGCTTACCTTGCTGGAATTCTGCTTCTGTGGCTAACAAGTAGGTGTCCCAAGGTTCTGCGGATGATAGGGAAGTGAAGTAGGGAGAAAAAGAGATGGTGTTGGTCTCTGCTGAGGGCGCCTCTCCTCCCCTTGGATGGACCCCATGACCTTCTGCAGCTTTTCCAGGTCCCCACCCCACCTCCAGGTCCTAGTAGCTTTGTCTGGCAGGTAGAGAGCAGGAGCCAAAGGGCAGGCAAACCCAAGGGGGAATTCAGCTCCAGGGCCTCATGCCAGATGTGTCTTCCATCTAGCCCTCAGTTTCCTAATTATATTGGTCAACATGACTTCTTCCTTACACATGGGGTAACTCACAGGCTCCCCATTTTCTTCAAGGCCCTGAGCCCAGCCACCCTGTCCCTAGCACCATGTGTACGAAGTCACTGCTGGTGCAAGGCTTCTGTGCTGCTCTGCTGTCATGCTGGCCATCCCCCTGCCACACTTGGTGGCCACTCCCTCTCTCTGGAACACACTCTTCTCCATGGAGGCACAGGAGAATGCCCTCAGCTCCTTTTTTTTTTTTAAAGATTTTATTTATTTATTCATGAGAGACACAGAGAGAGAGAGAGAGACAGACAGACAGACAGACAGAGACAGAGACAGAGACACAGGCAGAGGGAGAAGCAGGTTCCATGCAGGGACTCCCTGGGCAGAAGGCAGGCACTAAACCTCTGAGCCACCCGGGGATCCCCCCCTTAGTTCTTTAGGTACTTGCTCTGTGAGGCCCGTTCAGACAGCTCTAATATTGCCACCTGCTCTCCCCAACACTGTCATCCTGTTCTACTCTGTCTTCTTTCCACACCACCATTTGCTCCTCCTGTGCTATATGATTGGCTTATTTATCTGGCTTTGACTCATGGTCTGTCTCCTGCTGGGATGGATACAATATCGTGCCACAAAAGCAAGGATATTTGTCTGCTCGACTGATGGAGTTGCAGGTCATGGCAAATACTATGCAGTAAATGGGATATTTTGAACAAATGCCATGTTTTTTTTTTAACTTTTTTTTTTTATTTATGATAGTCACAGAGAGAGAGAGAGAGTGAGAGAGGCAGAGACACAGGCAGAGGGAGAAGCAGGCTCCATGCACTGGGAGCCCGACGTGGGATTCGATCCCGGGTCTCCAGGATTGCGCCCTGGGCCAAAGGCGGGCGCCCAACCGCTGCGCCACCCAGGGATCCCAAATGCCATGTTTTTAATGCACTGGGAGGCTTTGCTCCCTTCCCCAGGCTTAGAAATACCTGTTACTCACCAGAAAAAGATGTATGTTCTGTGGGTACAAGGCTGGTGTCCCCAACACCTTCTGGCAGTGGAAACAAAGAAAACCATGAGGGTTTTGGGTTTCCTCTGGTCTTCCTGCCTCATCTCTGGGCCCTCCCTCTTCTTGTCCCTCTGGCCTTCTTCCTCAGGAACAATCAAATGGGCCTCCACAAAATGCATGTGGATGAGGGTGCTGGAGCGAGATGCCCTCTGTGTCTTCCCACCTGTCCCTTCCTCATCACTGGTCAGGGTTTACTTGGGGTTCCAGAGAGGACATGAAGGGAAATCTGGGAGTTTCCTCACCTGTGACCAGGAGTTTCACAGGCTTACTGGGGAAAGACCACGCATGGTTGTTATAAGAGCCAAAACATCTGTACGTCCCTCTGTGGGCTGTGGTCACAGGGCCTATGGGAAACTCCACCTGGATGTTCCCATATCTGTGTTGTGGGTGGCTGGATTGTCCCTCCTTGAGCAGAAAGAACTTGTTTGTTGCAGTGTCTAGACGGCAAGAGAAGGTCACATTCTTTCCCGAAATCACCTTATTCCCGGGATGAACGGAGAGAGTGGGCGTATCATACATTCCTGTGGGAGAAGGAGACAAGTAGGTTAAGAGAGTCTTTATCCTACCTTCTGTGTCCCCTTCCTCTTTGGCCTTAAGGCTGAGATATCACTCCCCAGAATCTCTGTTTCTTATTTTGGTCATGGACACTTCCTCCCTGATCTCTCCTTTCAAGACTGAGACACTCACTCTTCTAGCTTTTAGGGGCGGTAATATGAATCTCTCTCTCTGAGGATTTCTGACATCAGTGGTGCTCAGAGTTAGTGATCCTTGGGGCCAGCAACATTGGTATCGCCTGGAAGCCTATTAGAAATTCACATTCCCAGGCTCCACCCCAGACCCCGAATCAGAAACTCAGGGGAAAGGCAACCATCTCTGTGTTTAAAAATAATTATTGTTCACACCATCCACTACATTATCTAAGAAATTAAAGTGCTTGGAATTTAAATTGTAACTTGAGGAACTGTAAAATGTTATTCAGGAGGTAATGTATTTAGAGAAGAATTAATGAACTAATAAATAACAAAATAAAAGGAAAAAATTACTATTGTTTTAAATTGTTATAAACTACATGAAACATTAAATTTACTATCTTAACCATTTTTAAGTGTACAGTAGTTCAATGGCATCAAGCACATTCACATTGTCATGCAACCATCACCACCATCCATCTCCAGGATTCTTTTCATCTTGCAGAACTGAAACCATCCCCATTATTAAGCAGCCTCTCCCCATCCCCATCCTGTATCCCCTGGCACCCACCATTTTGTTTTCTTTCTCTATGAATTTGACCATTCTAGGTCCTACAGAGAAGTGACTTAGGTACTTGCTCTGTGAGGCCCATTCAGACAGCTCTAATATTGCCACCTGCTCTCCCCAACACTGTCATCCTGTATTTGTCCTTCTGTCACTGACTTATCTCACTAAGCATAATGTCCTCCAGATTTGTCCATGCTATAGCAGGTGTCCCAATCTCCTTCCTTTTTAAGGCTGAATAATATTCCATCGTGTGTATACCACATTTTGCTTATCTGTTCCTTTGCCAGTAGACACTGGGATTGTTGCTACCTTTTGGCTATTGTAAACAGGGCTTTCATGAACATGGGTGCACACTGGAGCCATTTGTGTTTTCACAAGCCCTCCAGGTGATTCTGATACCTGCTTAAGTTTGAGAACTGCATCCCTTGGCTGAAGGGAGTGTCCTTATCCAAGACTGCATTCTCTCCTAATCCCATTCCATACCACCATTTACTCCTCGTGCTTATTGATGGATGGTTTGTCCTAACTTGGGCTCATGGTCTGTCTTCTGTTGCTAGAACATAAGTACCACAAAAGCACAGATGTTTGAATGGAACCTCCCTAGGACGGGTTGACACTGGCAGGTACAGAGCCCCTAGTCTCATCTTGAGACCATTCAGAAGGGCCTTCCCAGGTCCAGAGTTCCACATTTGCTTGGCTGAGGTGTCTGTTGAAACAACCAGCATTGCCTTATACCTGACTTGTTTCCCTCATTCCTCATCATAGGGTCACTTTTGAAAATGATCCCCAGTGCATCTCCCCTGGAGAACCTGACCTCTGACAAATCTGCCTCTAGGTCATAGATAACCACTAAGTGAGGTTGAATGACACTAGTGGAGATTAATAAATTAATGATGACCCTCCCCAAGACTCAGGCCAAAGATGAAATAGTTACCTGTTAACACCAGATCCAGAGGGTCACTAGGCTTTGACCAGAGCTCCTTGATTCGGTAAAAGCACCTGTATCGCCCTGCAGTGAGCAGGGTCATTTTTGGGATGCGGAACATGACTGTGTTCCTCCTTTCAAGTTGTTTTGGGCTCTGCTGGGCATAGAGATGTCCTTCAAGATGCAGCTGATATTCAATGGCCTCAGGAGTCCCCTGGCACCAGATCAACACTGGCATTCCCTTTGGAATCATGAAATTTGGCTTGACCCAGATGATGGGTTTTGAAAGAATCTCTGGAAGAGAATCAGAGGCTGGAGTTCCAGATAAAGTCCTTTCCCATGCAAATTTCTACCCTGTTGGCCTCAAGCCCTCCTAGCAAACCAGAGCCCCTGCCCCCTCCTTTGGTTTCATAGATAGAAGAGAGATTCTGAGGCTCTGAAGAAGGGACTCACGCTTCTGGGTGCTGGTGGTCTGGCTCAGGTACAGCCCTGGAAGACAGGAACAATGAGACATGCCGCTCACCCACACCCAGTCTCCAGAATTCTGTTTCCCCTATGTACAAGAACTCACCAAGGAAGAGAAGGGCAGTGAGTGTAGAGGTCATAGCACTGATTATACCAGGCACATATGGAGGAGCTGAGTGGTGACTGAGCCCAGCAGGCCAGTAAGTGCACAGGATGTGGTGGGTGAAGCCCAACAACACTATTTGACATGGGGCTTTCACACTGACTTTTTATAAGAAGGCTCACAGTCTTCCCTGTAGTTTGACCATGAGACAAATCATGGTCCCTATGACATATCTGATCATCTCTGGTCTAACCAGATCCTCTGACAATTGTCTGCCTCACCTGAGACTCATCTCAGGGTTCACTTCTAAATTTTGAAATGTGGACATTATGCCCAGGAAAGGCATAGGGTAGTGTACCACGCAGAAATGTTAAAATCATTAAAAACTTTGTGTTTAATATTGGCTCCTCTTTGTTTTGTATACATATGGTTGGATCAGTTAATTGGTTTCATCAGAATGAAATAACACTATTTTCTCCAAAGATTTGGAGAATCTTTACAATGTTTCAACAAAATGCAATTTTTTAAAGTAATCTTTTTTTTTGCCTTTTTTCTTTTTTCGAAATATTTATTTATTTATTTATTATAATAAATTTATTTTTTATTTTTATTTTATTTATTTATTTTTGACATTTCATTTTTTAAATAAATTAATTTTTTATTGGTGTTCAATTTACCAACATACAGAATAACACCCAGTATTCATCCCGTCAAGTGCCACCCTCAGTGCCCATCACCCATTCACCCCCACCCCCCACCCTCCTCCCCTTCCACCACCCCTAGTTCGTTTCCCAGAGTTAGGAGTCTTTATGTTCTGTCTCCCTTTCTGATATTTCCCACACACTTCTTCTCCCTTCCCTTATATTCTCTTTCACTATTATTTATATTCCCCAAATGTATGAGAACATATAATGTTTGTCCTTCTCCGATTGACTTACTTCACTCAGCATAATACCCTCCAGTTCCATCCATGTTGAAGCAAATGGTGGGTATTTGTCGTTTCTAATGGCTGAGTAATATTCCATTGTATACATAAACCACGTCTTCTTTATCCATTCATCTTTCGATGGACACTGAGGCTCCTTCCACAGTTTGGCTATTGTGGACATTGCTGCTATAATCATCGGGGTACAGGTGTCCCGGGATTTCATTGCATCTGTATCTTTGGGGTAAATCCCCAACAGTGCAATTGCTGGGTCGTAGGGCAGGTCTATTTTTAACTCTTTGAGGAACCTTCACACAGTTTTCCAGAGTGGCTGCACCATTTCACATTCCCACCAACAGTGTAAGAGGGTTACACTGCATCCTCTCCAACATAACAAAATGCAATTTTTGAAACAAAATATTCTGTTTCTTACATAAGTTTATTTCTTTAGTCTGCTATAAAGCAGAAATTAAATATTAAAATCTTAAGTATTTTAAAACTCAAAATGTGTTCTTTTTTTTTTTTCTCAAAGGGTCCAAGCAATCTTTGAAAATGAAATGTTGGGAATGTGAATTGGTACAGCCACTCTGGAAAACTGTGTGGAGGTTCCTCAAAGAGTTAAAAATAGATCTGCCCTATGACCCAGCAATTGCACTGCCGGGATTTACTCCAAAGATACAGATGCAGTGAAATGCCGGGACACCTGCACCCTAATATTTATAGCAGCAATGTCCACAATAGCCAAACTGTGGAAGGAGCCTCGGTGTCCATCGAAAGATGAGTTGATAAAGAAGATGTGGTTTATATATACAATGGAATATTATTCAGCCATTAGAAACGACAAATACCCACCATTTGCTTTGACGTGGATGGACCTGAAGGGTATTATGCTGAGTGAAATAAGTCAATCAGAAAAGGACAAACATTATATGGTCTTATTCATTTGGGGAATATAAAAATTAGTGAAAGGGAATAAAGGGAAAGGAGAGAAAATGAGTGAAAATATCAGTGAGGGTGACAAAAACATGAGAGATACCTAACTCTGGGAAATGAACAAGGGATAGTGGAAGGGGAGGTGGACAGGGGTTTGCGGTGACTGGGTGATGGGCACTGAGGGGGGCACTTGATGGGATGAGCACTGGGTGTTATTCTATATGTTGGCAAATTGAACACCAATAGAAAAAAATTTATTAAAAAAATAAATAAAATAAAAAATTATTAATTTTTTATGATTTTAATTTTTTTAATAAATTATTTTTCATTGGTGTTCAATTTGCCAACATACAGAATAACACCCAGTGCTCATCCCATCAAGTGCCCCCCTCAGTGCCCATCACCCAGTCACCCCAGACCCCACCCACCTCCCCTTCCAATACCCCTTGTTCATTTCCCAGAGTTAGGTGTCTCTCATGTTTTATCACCCTCACTGATATTTTCACTCATTTTCTCTCCTTTCCCCTATAATCTCTTTCACTATTGGCCATCAGTTCTTTTTTTTTTTTAAGATTTTATTTATTTATTCATGAGATACACACACACAGAGGCAGAGACCTAGGAAGAGGGAGAAGCAGGCTCCCTGCAAGGAACCTGATGTGGGACTCAATCCCAGACTGGGGATTATGCCCTGAGCCAAAGGCAAATGCTCAACTGTTGAGCCATCCAAGCATCCCATCCTGTTCGGTTCTATATGAGTTTTGATAAATGTATATAGTCATGTAACCAACACCAAAGTCAAAATATAGGACAGTTTTGTCCTCATATAAGTGGTATTGGTAATGTTTGTCCTTGTGTGTCTGACTTACCTCACTTAGCATAGGGCCTTGGGGTTCATTCCTGTGATTGCAATTGACAAGATTTCTAGTATATGTGCTGCTGAAGTGAGCACAACAAGATTTCTATTACATTCTTTTCTGTTGCCTCCAGTCTTTGGCTCCAAATTCCAGAACCCCTCTTCTGCAGCCAGCTGACCCTTACGCATGTCACCTATCCATCCACATGGTCTCCATCAAAATGTCCTTAAACATTTTGAGGGAGGGCATTATCCTTCAGAGTCTATAAGGTCTTTTTCAGAAGCGATCCTGGAGAAGAAAAGCTCAGGTGAGATGGGCATTTTTGATTGAGATGATAACTTGCACATCCACTCCTGGGAAGATTCAGACCTAAAAGCAGTAGCTCTCCTTTGTGAAAAGGGTCATGCACTGGATTGCTACTGTCTTGTCTTCCCACATATGACTTGCCAAGGATACCGCTGGGGGCTTCTTACAGCTAAATTTCTGTGTGCATCATTTAGGGAACTTAGTCTCAATAAACTTACAGGAAAGATGGGTGCAGAAGAAGTAGTGGGTAAGGACCCAGAGCCACTCACCAGAGTTTTTATGTTGACCACATTTCTAGAGAGTAGACACAGCCAATGCATGTGAGAAACCTGGCTATGTGCTATGAGTGTTTTTGTTTGTTTGTTTGTTTGTTTGTTTTATTTTTATTTTATTTTTATTTTTTTTTATTTTATAAATTAATTTTTATTGGTGTTCAATTTACCAACATACAGAATAACACCCAGTGCTCATCCCGTCAAGTGTTTGTTTGTTTTTAAGGAGGGGAACTGAGTTGGAAAAATTAGAGAGGGAGACAAACCATGAGAGACTTCTAACTCTAGGAAACAAAGGGTCATGGAAGGGGAGGTGGGGGGATGGTGTAACTGGGTGATGGCCACTGAGAAGGGCACTTGATGGGATGAGCACTGGGTGTTATACTATACTATTTATTGGCAAATTGAATTTAAGTAAAAAAAAAAAAGAATTAAAAAAATAAAGTCACACTTGGCCTATTGAAACATTTAGATACCAAACCTTGGGGGAGGGAAGTGGTGGTTGCTAGTTCAAAGGAGACAATGAGGCAGGCTCCCCTGTAATTACAAAGGTGTCCCTGGGCCATGAGAGCATCTTGCTTCACTTCTCTCCTGTAATACATCTTAATTTACTCATCATTGTCAGCCTAAAGTCCATTCATAGTCCTTAGAAGGTAAAGTTCCTAGTGAGTTGATCCCTGTGTCAGAAAAGAGCTAGTTGTCCTTTGGGGATAAATTACCCAGGACCAGAGAAGCAGTTCCTTTGGTATGGTAAGAAAGTTCTGCCCCTCCTCACTTCAGAGAGTTTGAGATTCTATTCAAGGGGTTGGTTGCCTGATAACAGGTTTCTGTGAAATTATTTTAAAAGTCGTGGGGAGCTCCCTGGAATTTAAGTCAACTTCCTGGCACCACTGGAGAATCAGGCTAGTATCTCCATGCCGTGACCCTAGTTGGGGTTGAGTCTGGACTTTATTTTATTTTATTTTTTATAAATTTATTTTTTATTGGTGTTCAATTTGCCAACTTATAGAATAACACCCAGTGCTCATCCCATCAAGTGCCCACCTCAGTGCTCGTCACCCAGTCACCCCCACCCCCCTCCCACCTCCCCTTCCACCATCCCTAGTTCGTTTCCCAGAGTTAGGAGTCTCTCATGTTCTGTCTCCCCTTCTGATACTTCTCACTCATTTCCTCCTCTTCCCCCATTCCCTTTCACTAGAGTCTGGACTTTAGAGAATTGGCCTAGCCTTTGTTTCCTTGTAGGTTTCTTCTTTACTTACTATTTTAATAATTTATATATGCACATGACAGTTCTATATCTCAAGTCCCTTGGTGTTGCTAATTCTTTCATTGTATTTTTGGATTTCTTTGTTTCTTCATGAAGTTTTCAACTTTATATTGCTAGTCATTCACAGCAAATTTTGCTACCTATGGAATTCCAATGAATATTGTTGTGTGTACTTTTAGCAAAAGTGTTGCCTTCCATTTGATTCTTCTGGAGGGCCCAGGTGTCTCAGCAGACTGTAACCATTTTTACATTCATTTATGGGTTTGGTCTTACATGGCTTAGGAATGGAATTCAACCTCACACTCTTGTGGAAGATGTCCACATTTCTTATTTTTCATAAGTCTGCTTCCAGACTTGCAGCCAGATGGGTTTTCTTATTCTTTTCTGAGATGGTGATTGGACCAGTTCTAGAGCCACTTTTTCTAAGAGGGAAATCTTTCCAAAGACTTGTCTTTATCAAAGTATTTTTTTCACTCT